AGTGTGGATGTACCGCGAGTTGGCTTGGTGTTCACCGCCAGTTCCCTCACGCGGCCCACAGTATATACTCGAGATATTGGGGTATGTTTCCATGTGAGGAACTACTCCGTCGATTGAGGTTACTTTGGCGATCTTGTTCAGGAAAAGCAAAATTCCGAAAACGATCGGGTCGTGCTGCTAATCAGCTTCTCTCTGTGGTTCAACTTACGATTTCGGGTTTCGCATGGCACTTCGAGACTGTGTTGTGTATTTACGATCTCGCTACTGATGCAGTTAAGAAGACGGTGCATCGTGAAGCCGTATGGGCTGCAGATTATTGGAAATTTTTGAAAGGAAATTGAATAATATAACCAGGGCTAGAGACTAAGAGGTTATACCGTGGTACACAGGGGGTATTGCTCCATTGATTGGGTTTAGTATTAGCAAGTGAAGGAAGTTGTTTGCATTTCGCGTTGCGATATTTCCGGTGACGCTGTGGCAGACATTGCAGTGTAGTCTCTTCTAAAAGCTGAATACGGTAAAAAGATACTGAAGTGGTGGAAGCTTTTAATTATGATGCTGTTTTCAAATCATGGTAACAGTTGTTCGGTGTGTGTCTTAGCAACATGAATTTAGGAGATAAGAATAGTGGTTGAACTCTGCCCCACCCGCTCCCTTTCCTCTTCTAAAAGCTGAAAACGGTAAAAAGGTACTGAAGTGGTGGAAGCTTTTAATTATGATGCTGTTTTCAAATCATGGTAACAGTTGTTCGGTGTGTGTCTTAGCAACATGTATTTAGGATATAAGAATAGTGGTTGAACTCTGCTCCACCCCGCTCCCTTTCTTTTCGACTGATCAACTATGGAGGTCATTGGGCGCTACGGCATGATGTGCTGGCGTCCATAGACGTCTGATCTACCTAACAGAAATACCATTGCTCGACATGATATTCATTGATTCCTACCTCTGTGCGTTTTTTTCTGATGACGTCGATAAAGTGTCTTCAGTCTGCTTACACACCAAACAACCCCAGCTCTGAGGGCATGAAAGAATAATTTTATGATTCCCTGTTCCCTCCAGCTAGAAGCTCCGATATCTTAATGTATATGTGGGCAGGTTTAGCGAATCTGAGTCTCAATTGGATGCTCGAATGAGACGGGACGCTCCACGTACCGAAAGTGGCAAACGGTTAACTCAGGAAGCGAAAGCAATTTGACGAGGAAGGTCAATGTAAAGGAAGGGGCCCGAACCCCCGAGCAGCTTATGCGCACAATCCCGCGATCGGAGATAAGTGATATACTCCGAAATTTAGTATAGAAGATCTCGACAATCAGCTGATCGCCATGTGGTCCAAATGGGCTCAAAGCTTTTATCGATAGGGTGAGCGCTTATGTTTGAAGCTTGTGTTGGCTAGATAAAACGGGTATTCAGCACATAACTTAGGCAGCCATTCTCCAGTATCCTTACGGTGAGCTTCAGCACCAAACTGGTCATCATTACGAGCATTCTCAACGGTCTGTCCGCATCATCTACCAAAACTAGCCAGTGACTCAGTAGTCTGACTCACTTGGTTGCAGGTTCTGGTACAGCCAGAAGGTGCAGGGATTAAGCCATTTTTGGGTCACTCCTAATGCGACTGTGCACAACAAGCTCCTTCTGAGAAGCATCAGACTTTTTGTTTTCAAAAGTATTTCGACCGCCGGCTGTCACGGTTAACGTTTGGGCGATCGGAGTGTAAAGTTTTGGGGGCCGACACTATCTAAGCCATCCTCCATCAGGAAAAGGCAGCATCAGGACTTCCGTAAAATGGAAGTGGTGGTTGCCTAAGGGAAACACCTTACTATCTTTACATTCTTACGGTAGAGGGCCATCTTACAATGCTCCTCAGCGACTGATTCCCCGCCTCCTTCGTATGGTTGAACACGCAGGAACGAAGATTCAGGTTTGCTCAGCAGTAAATGCCAAGATTAGGAGCTTCGTCACATTAGAGAAGAAGGCGAAGGGCGCTTTCGCGTGGATCCAGCTATAATTGCAGGTAGGGTGTGTTTTCTTTGCGGTATCAGCCTTCAATCCAAACGCAGCGAAAAACAGATGGACGTAAATAGTGACAGGCATTAGTAAGATGCACGTAAAGTTCACCTGCCCCCGATGTAGTCAACAGGATGACATAGAAATCATTTTTTCAATGCAACTGTTCGCTGATTCAGAATACATAAATTCGAAACAGTTCAGTCGTTAAGGTACGAACTTACTGACGGGAAAGTTCATCGATCTGACCAGGATCGAGCAGCTCGACTTCTCCAGTCTAGCCTTAGGGAATTTGGCAGTATCCCAACCCTTGGGCTTGCTTCAAGAAGCGTCACTGTTGTACACCAAATAGTTGATAGTCTATTTACGATTATTTTCGATTAGGCTGTTCACACTATGGCAAGATTAATAAACTGACAAATAGGAATAAATGTAGTGTCACAATAAAGCGAGCTCCTTGCATTTTTCAGTCAGCACATCGCTTTGTGCATTGATCAGCTTGGTGGATACGTATATGATGAATAGTCCAACCAGTCGCCAGAGAGGTTAGACTTGAAGCCCCACTGGGCAGTTCCTTGATGGCGAGATGGCTCAAGTGGTTAGAGCGCGAATTTACTGACCGGAAGGTCCATGGTTCGAACCCGACCTCTGCCTCTCGACTTCCCCCCTGTCTAGGCTTGGGCAACCTGACAGTATCCCAGCCCTCGTGCTTCCTTCGGGTGGCATGGCAGCTAGGCACCGAAAGGGCGCTACAGCTGAACGATTTTCGATTTTTTTTTAGTTCCTTGATACAATTCCGAGTGGACGTATGCACTGCTGACGGATTCCAACAGAGATAAAATAGTTGAACTTTGGTTCTGGAATTTTCAGCGTAAAATGACTTCACTTGTAGGATGGAATCTCTATTGAATTGACCGAGTCACAGTCCTGTTTGCACCATATTGGCTGTTGTGTCTTGATGAACAGACCATTTAGAGTCCTCTGAGGGCGCATCACCCACGGAACGAAACTGATCCCATCGACAACAGCTACGAATCAATAACGGACAAATTTGTGGATTCCGACCACATGCTCGTCCAGAGTTGCTCTTATCCCCGTTTTACAGGCTCACGAAAGGTGTCGACAGGCCCTTTAACTATTCAAGGGTTGACTGATTTCGAATTTAAACGAAATTACCAGATTCATCTTCTGGGCTCCCTTCGAAATGTTTCACCGTCGGATGTCAGCTCACACTGGAAACGGACCGCCATATCTTTGCACAGCGCTCGGAATTTGAATGTTTGTCGGCGCTACCAGGTCAGCACAGGCGCTGGATATCAGATAGAACAATGGCGCTGACTGAATCGCGAAGAACTCTTTTCAGTGGTCCCAAGCGTAATTCACCAGGGAGAATTATCAGACGCCAAGTAAAACAGCCTGTCCGCCAACCGTGAAGCCTTGGGGACAGGGAAGTCTAGAAGGTCCAGAGAGTAGGGAATACCCGAAAAGCATTTCAGTTGATCCGTGTGATCGGGCCGCAGAAACTTCCTGTGAGCGCAACCATCAGATGTCAAGTGGGTGTGATCATTCTGGACGTCTCGACCGCACAGTGAACAGAGAGAATCGTGGAAGTTGGAAGTGAAGCAGAATCCTGGACAGTAAACTCAGAAACCATACGGCCTCTGAGGTCTAGGAACACAAATTCTTCCAGGCGTCGCCGAGCTTCTAGTCCCGATGACCTCCCACCTAAATTGTTCAATGCTGGGGCTGAAGTCCTCAGTCAACACTCATCTGATCTACTTGATTCCATCTGGGAAGAGAACACCATTCCAAAAAGCTTGTGATAGTGCCCGTTTTTTTTGGAAAGGAGCTCGCGATGAGTGAAGGAATCATCTTGGAATCGGCCTGCTCCCAATCTTAACGAGACTGTTCGAGTTACTTGTCCATTGTCGGCTTCTGGTGGTCTTCTAACCATTAACTCGAGAAAAGTAAACCGAATTCCAGTCCGGTGAGGACGGTGTAGGCCGAATTTTCGCACACCGCCAGGTGCTACAATAATCCCATTCCTGGCGCGTTGAAATCTGTTGACCATTTCTGTTCTCCTTAATACGCTTTTTATCAAGGACATTCATCGAAGACAGTACTCTCCCAACTTTGAGAACTTCCGCATACAAAGTGGTGTCGAATCTTTCCATTTCGGGATGGATGAGATAATGAGACGAACGGTGGACGTCTTCAAAATCCCAGTGTTCTAATAGCCGCTGACGAAACACTTGTCGATCAAGAATAGGAAGACAATGCTGTTTTCGTCTTTGATGAGCAGAAGAAGACGTCGGAAACAGTGTCGCTGTCGGATGGTGAAAATATGGTCGACGCATCCCCTTGAAGGAGGGAACCCAGTTGGGTTTTCACGAATCTGTTTCTCTGCGTTCAGTCAACTTTCGAGGGCTAAGACCAAAGACGAGCTTCGAAACCACGGCTAACAGGATGAGGCCACTGTAGTTTTTACACAGCGTCCACGCCTTTTTGAGTACATTGATAACTGTCGAGGTGCCTTATTCTGCAGGCCCTTTCTCTTCACTCCACATCGCACCAATGAGCTTTGTCAGATAGATCATCATGAAGAGTGCTGGATGCGGGCCGTCCGGTCCTGGTGACCTCTCGTATTTCAGTGCGGATATTTCATACTTCATTTCTTCTTCCGAGGATAAATAAGGGTTTACAATCGTTCGCCCATATGTAGTATCTCCACAGTTTGGGTTGCAGGAGGCCAGCTAAACTGTTCCTCAACGTTTTCGACGCATTTTCCCAGTAGGTGGTCTTGCGAAAATATTAATGAACCGTCTGTTTTACATATCGTTTCACCGACTGTTGCTTTCCTAGGGCGAGTCGATCGTAGCAGTTGGTATAGGGTACGGTTGTTTCCGGTAGCAAAAGACTTCTGCATCTCCTGAACTCACGATGTCTACTGAAGATCTCGGTCTTTCCTTGGGCTGTTCACGGAGAGCTCACCAAATATTTCGTATCGGAAATGGTGTCCTCAAAGGTTACTTACACCCTCTCAATCATCATTTAATTTCCTCATCGACGAGATTATGAAACGAACATTGGAGGGTCTTAGAATCGCTGACCGCTGAGAAAACCTCTTCGTACTCCCTCGATTATTATTTAATTTCCTCATCGATGAGGTTATAAAACGAACACCGGAAGGCCTTCGAATCCCTGGCCGCTGAGAAAACCTCTTCGATCCCCAATATGCAGACGATTTCGAAGAGGAGGTGAAGACTCAGGTGTTTTTGGATGAACTGACCTTTGCCATGCGCTTTGCACTCACCAACTATAAGGCCATGCTCCTGGACAATCAGTCGGAGTTGTGGAGCGTTTTACGTATCTTGGAAATTGTATTACTTGCGATCGTTGTACGACAGCTGCACGAATCTCGGGCTGCGTTTGCAAATTTGAGCGGATATACCCCTGAATATGAAGGGACGTGTGCATCGGACTATAGTAAGGACTGTTCTGGTGTAGGGCTGATAGGCGTGGCCTCCGTGAGCTTTCAGGTGTCCGACAACCGCTATCTCAGAGCCATATCTGTATAGACTGGTGAGGGTAAATTCGAAAGGAGATATCAGGAAACTATTGTTCGGTTGTGCAACAGTCTCCTATCAGAGATTGTAATAATATAATAATCATTCAGCTGTAGCACACTTCCGGTGCCTAGCTGTCATGCCACCCGAAGGAAGCACGAGGGATGGGATACTGCCAGGCTTCCCAAGCCTAGACAGGGGAAGTCGAGAGGCAGAGGTCGGGTTCGAACCATGGACCTTCCGGTCAGTAAATTCGCGCTCTAACCATTTCGGTCATCTCACCCCCTATCAACGAATGTGTCCAGTATCAGAAGCTCCGGTGAGCGGCCATGAATTGCGTGTGGCGAACCATCGTTTACCGAAGAGAGTACAGTTTTCTGTGCCCCATTCAGAGTGGCGCAAGCAGATTAGTGGTCAACCTATGCCCTGAAGCAGATAACAAAGCGTAAACTGTATGAGCGAATCGCCTTCCTGAATAAGGTTCCTGTGACCCCCACCCTCTGCATTGTTCAAGACACTGTAAGTTGTCGCTGCTAATCAATTTCAGTAGTTCTTCTTGTCAGTTTCTATCCTGAGTGCCAGATAGAGTGTCTGGAGTTGTGGGTGCCTTGGAATGATTGTGTTAGACCAGCACTGAGTCATATCTTTGTGTACTTTTATTTTAAAATCATGGCTATACTGCAGTGACGTATCAGTGCTGAACTCTGCTGTGGATGAATTGTGACGGAACGACATTACGGCGCATTTTTAAACTTGGATATCTGTTGGTTTTTCACTGACCACTGATTTCAGCGGTGGTCCGTTACATCTGAAAAAGATTCTTATCATTGTCTGTTCAGATCGATTCCAAAGTCTTGCCGTGGTCAGAGGGCAGTGCTCCATTTAATTACATTTGACAATGTAAGCTCCAACAGTCGGGCTAAGATTGTCCGGCATCCAACTCAGCAGAGACGAGTGAATTCTGTCACAGTAGAGGATCGCTCGAGGCCCTATACATATCCGGCTCAGTGACATGGTTGAATAACTACTTTGTATCGACCAGCTAAACTCAGGACTGACAGCAGTTTTAAACCAAAGAGAAAGGGCGTTGATTTTACTAATTAGTGTTTAATGTGACGATAGGGGAGTGTCTGTTCCAAACAGTAGTCCTTCCTTCATTGGCACAAGGTTCAGTGTCCCGGAAATTCGGCATCCCAGACGACTGTCAACTCCTCATATGGGAGTACCTCAAGATTTTTCGAGCTGAAGGCATTGTTGGCTGAGGAAAATTACCCGCTCCAAGCAGTAATCACATGGATGAAACTTTGGTAGATGAAAATATATAAGTTACCGTGTAACTCTTGTCGTTATCCGAGATCAAAAACGTGAACGGATGGATTGATTCAACACGGTATTTTTTGTTTACGGGGCACCACAAAGTGTTTGAAAACGTCGCGGCTTTCTGACCTAATACTGCCTGCGCGAAACCACAGGCTTGTTTCTCACGGAAATGCTCTTTGCCTACAATCCACTTGCGTCTCTGGGAGATCGTAAGCACCTTTTACTGAGCCACTGATATGACCGACTCACTCTTGTTTGAACAGTCAACCATCCCTCCCGAAGCAACAACCTATTTCAGGAAGCAATCGATTGGAGTTTGACGCCCAAAGGAATGCAAGGTAAATTTTGTAAGCAAGGTAAAGCAGCTGCACATCTTGCGGGAGCCGCAACTTACCTGTTTCAGACCCAGTTTGCAGTAACTGTCTAAACGAATAATGACCCGTGAAGTAAAGTATGTTACTACAGGTTGTCTCCAACTACCATTTGTAAACTAAGATATCAGGGAGACCGCGATGACACTGCGTTTTCTCAATCAATGACCAGCTGCCCCACAAGTGTTTACCTGATTTCCCAGCTTTTCGAAGACCAAGTTTATATTCCGAAATTCCTACATTCTACTAATGAATAAGAGCAGGATCTTCACACATTATTGGTAAAGGTACACTTGAACAAAGTACAAAACTGACCCGCTTCAATCAAAAGCACTCTTGGAGAGATTCGAGCCCGGGTTGACGAAAAGCGCTAATTCCCCTTGTGAGCAGAGTCACGCGCTGCCGCCCGCTTTCCTGTTTTATTTGCTCCCTGGTGAGGCTTTGCTTACTTGCAGTTGCCAATGTTGATATTTACTCACCCATGTTCGCTTCCAATTTCGTGTACCCCGGAGATCGAAAACGGACCCTCGGATTGCAGGTGAGCACTGTGCCCACCTCGCCAAATGACTCCCCCCGCGTTACATTTTCGTATAACCTCGCACTGCACCATACATGATAGTACCCGCGGCAAGTCTGCTCTAAGCGAGCCCACTTTTAAGATGCACTCGGCGCGTGAAAACCCGTCAATTAAACCGCGGGTATATTCATTTTGCGCCAGATCGACCCGGCACCCGTTTCCAGAGCTCCGTTCTCGATTCGCTACGTACTGTCCTGCATCACCCCTCAAAGTGCTCATTTAGCTCTGGAGGGTGGAAAGCGGGTCTGCACGTAGTTTGCTGCTCACCCGTCCAGGAGCTCTGCCGCCTCATTTCTAGTCCTGCTCTATTGACTGCACTTCACTAAATCCCTTTGTTCAGAGACAGAAGTTTGGGTTTGGTCTAAAAGCGGGATGATCACGATGCAGATGCATCACGGACAGCAAAACCACAGACCAGGAAGATACAATGGCGACATATTAACGGTCGTGACTTCAGTGGAGGCGAGGGCTAAGACCCCTGCGCCGCGAATATAAAAAGCCTATTAACGTCATCATCGACAGCATGACATCAGTGCTCAACTCCGGTGCTTCACTGCCGTACAACCATGACTTATTTGAAAACCTTATTGTAAGGAAAAGAGTAAAGGTGGACAGAGGGACTAAGTGCTAGCTTACCACACTCATTCAGGCGATCTGGATAGAAACTGACAAGAACGCCACTGACATTGTTTGGCAGCCACATCTTGTAGTGTCCACATGTCCCAATCAACGCATGTTACCTGGAGAAAGCAGCCGGTAGCCGTCTACACTCTTTGGAGCACCCATATCACATGGAAAGTCACCCCGTCCTGCCAGTCATCGTTGCCATACCACGGCAGCCAAGTCTCGGTACGGATATACCTCCAAGGACTCCCCAACCGCAGCATGGACTGGGCGACGAGGACGAATGCGGCAACTCTGCCATCACATCTGATCGTGGCATAATACCCAGGATATGGGGTTTTCCGGGGAAATCACGAGACCCCAATCCGGTGCGGGGAATCCGATCTAATGTCAGTCAAGCCACACTCAACCTAAAACCAGTGCACTATCCACGGCAGACTGAAGGTGGGTAGACCGCACGGGTCCATTCGACCTAACCTTCAGCCCAGTGAACACCGGCAAACAAACCTCTGTGAGATAAGTACGGTTGTCGGGCCCACGAAACCCCGCCTGCTAATCTCAGGATACTGCATTGAGACACCCAAAACCGATTGCCCCGTAAATGATGAAAACGAACACCGAAAGTCACAATGTGGTGGCCCTAAATAGGGCCGTTGTGCGTTCTCGTGCGGAAGGAATGACCGAAGCGGAATTAACCACCGAAGCCGTAGAGAGTGCGGCCTTGGCGTTTCAAGGCGTACACAACGTCCATAGCAGTGACGGTCTTTCGCTTGGCATGCTCGGTGTAGGTGACGGCGTCACGGATGACGTTCTCAAGGAACACCTTGAGGACACCGCGAGTCTCCTCGTAGATCAGACCGGAGATGCGTTTCACACCACCTCGGCGAGCGAGACGGCGGATTGCGGGTTTGGTGATCCCCTGGATGTTATCGCGGAGAACCTTGCGATGGCGTTTCGCTCCTCCCTTTCCGAGTCCTTTACCACCCTTACCACGTCCAGACATGATGATGGGTTGTTACAGACAAGACCGCAACGAGACAACGGGGTCATTCACACGACGGGACATAGGGAACTTGCCGTCCAAAAATAAGGTAGAACTTGAGCCAATCAGAACGCTAGGTTTGATTGACTATAACAATCGTTTGCCTCTCTGTGAACTGAAGATATCCCTGCTCAGCTTAATTGTATTAGCACTTGCAAATCTATTCCTTAACCTATATGGACGGAAAGATTTTGAAACGAGCAGCCTGCTGCATGCGCTGGTGTGATATCATTGCTGTTTACATGGCTATATGAACGGCGAACGCCGTCGAAGTTGACTGCGTCGCAGCCATCCTGACCACGTAGACAACTAATGTGGATGTACCTCGAATTGACTTAGTGTTTGCCGGTGGTTACTTCATGAGGGCGAACATCTTAGTTGGTACGATACTCGAGGTATTATAGTATGCTTTCATGTGGGAAACTATTGAAGGCTCTCCCACATCTCACGACCGGTTTCAGCCTTCTTAGTGGCTATTAGATAGGTGCGATCATTGAGTCTCCACCAAGTTCATGTGCTACTTGATCCCAATTGAATGAAATCACAAAAAACTAATTTGCATACTGGATTGGTTGTCATGAGTGCCTCAGCTAAGCCCTTCTGTCATGATATTTATAAAACTGATGGAAACATTAGAAATGCGCCTATGCGTTAAGCCCCAAGAATAGTGAAACCAATCGTTGCTGTGCAAGGACTCTCAGCAATGTTGCCAATGGTCTCCTTCAAGAGTACTCGGAGTCTCAATTTTGCTCCATGTACTTCTTCGACAACTTATTTTATAGTACAATAAATTTTGTCACAAATTTTCTTCAAGAAGGAAATCATAGGCTCAAACCGGTGAATTACCCCCTAGGACTTTAATACCCACCGAATCTATTGAACACGTGAGGTAACTAGTCAGGGGATCAACCTTTGACCTGGAACAGATATGAAGAAACATCTGGATGCTATCGGGGCGAATCGCCTTCCAAGATGAGGTGTAAGTGGAGAGTCTGGTTGCTAAGGCAGGCAGTAGCGTGCTTTTCAGTTTCTATCCAGATTAACCGAATGAATGTCTGGAGGTGTATGGACCCTTGGAGCGAATGCGACAGCCTGGAACTAAGTTGCTTCTCTGTCCACCTTTTCTTCGCAAAAGTTTTCAAATAAATCATGTTGTAAATCAGTGTTCAACACAGATGCTTCGCTGTTGATTGTGATAGCGGACCAACTGAAGCTGTTTGTGGCTCACGGGAACTGTAGGATCTGATAAAGTCAGGCGTCGCTACCGATATCTGCCGGACCGACGATGCACCCATGAGAAATATGAGAGATATGTTTGACACAACGAACACGTTCGGATGACGTTTTCACTTGCGTCTGCTCCCCTTCCCATCCACTTTGATGCGGACGGACCAGAAAAATCACTAAAATCTTAGGATTGATGCTGAGTAACAGTAAGTACCTCGGGAAAACCAAATACAAAACAACAGAAAGATGAGATCTAAACAGATCACAACTTTACAGCTGTCGGCGCTCTGCCTCCATGGCGCGAGACCGGCGCACCGCTGCGTAACAGTCAGGCGACCGGTACGATTCTCTCAAGGACCCAAAGTACCTAATTTTAGTCCTTGTCTCATGTCTTGCTATCTATGCCCTCTACAGCTTGACATTGAACGATTAGCCCGGTAACACAGACGCGACATTGTGTGATCAGTTGCCTTAGCAACCATGCTGGTGAAGCACCCGTGCTGGCGCAGTAACAATAGCGAACGGAGGCACAAGAACTTAATAAACGGGGTGGGGGGGGCGTACACTGTCAGTGAACTGAAGCGGAACCAACACGAACGCAACTGATCGACTATGGAACAAGAGTGATTAGGCCAAAGCAAAGTTGTCGCTATGCTGAGCTGCACGCCCTCATCACGTCAAAGTGGAGTTTGAACAGCCAAAACCATATCGGCCGCTACCAGGGCATCTGACAGCCAGTAATTTCGGCCACACATACCAACCCCGCTTTTTTACGGGACCAGACACTAGACCAGACTATAAAATGCTGGAAGAAAAGCCAGTTTTGAGTGAGATACGACATGATTCAACTTGCTTGTGCTTTGTTTTAAGGGAACTGACGGAGGAAGCCTGGAATCATGACCTTCAAAGAAAAGTACCATGCTTTTAGTTGCCTCTGCGCAATTCGTGTATTCGGGGTGGCCACGGAATGCTCTGTTGTTCGATCGTCCTCCACATCTTGTCCTGTTTCAACAACTTCAATGAGGTCCCGAATGGCGGTGTGACATGCCTCCTATGTGTGTCGCTAGGATCGCATGCATCAGTTTAAACAGAGCGTACACAGTGAGTTCATCTGGTCCGGGAAACATTTCTCAGGACATTTCTGTTCACGTTATCTACGTGATAAGCACCAATCAACAGGGTGGATAGAGGGTAGATATTCAAAGGATGTGGTCGGAGGAGCGAAAGTGAATCCCGGATTGCTATGGCAACCTAAATCGCGATCAATGTGTGGATTAAGGCATGACCATCCATTGCAACATCGGTTAAGTGCAGTAATGCGCTCTTACAGTAAACAGTTTGTCTCTCGCTTTGTTTAAATCGGTAGACTGTGCCGCATCAGCTGTCGGAAAATGACCTTGTCTAATGCGTACTATTGGCTGTCGTGTTGTTTCGCTCAAATGATTCACACCTCAACGTTTCTCACTCGTCCATACACGTGTCTTCCATCCAGGTCGACTTCCGTTCTTCTGCTCAAATGCCCGATAAATTGAAGCAGCCTAACACCACAGTGGCCAAATACCAGCACTGCCGTGCTCGATGCGGCTCTTTTCTAGACAGACAATGCCCACGACCAATCGAGAATTGAAAACCGGTATGTGATGACCTGGTCTCAGCTGTGACGTGAGCCAAACATGCTTATCGCAAGCTAGAAAATCCGTTCAGCTGTAGCACCCTTTTGGTTTCTAACCGCCATGGCACTAGAAAGGAGTATGAGAACTGGGATACGGCCAGGTTGCCCGAGCCTAGACAGAGGAATTCGTGATGCAGTGGTCGGACTCGAACCACGGACCTTCCGGTCAGTAAATCCGCACTTTAACCATTGAACCATCTAGCTGCTCTCAAATAGCCACTAATGGACAAGTGTTTTCCGCGGAGTTTATTTTTTACTCTCCCCCGGTTCCAGTGATCTCATTGCGATAACAAAACAGATGGAAGTCGGTGTCTTCGACCCACATGACTTTACGACATTCTGTTTCCGGCTCTAGAAGGTCCATCACGTGCCTCAATCTCCTCCTCTTTTCAAATGGATCCAGTTTCATAAAACCTCAGGCCTGTAACTTTTCTGGTTTCTGATGATATCGAGACAGGCCCTGCTCATTGCGCTTCCCCACAGAATTTCTGCATTTAAGACTCTTTCCAAGACCCTCCCCGTGCACCTATCGATTCAGTAATTTGGGTTGAAGTAGAACATAAGTTTGACGGAAATTCAAGGACTGCACCTACCTGAGGAGCCCCAAGAATGGCGCGACCGGTCGTGGGCTGTCGAAGAGTTTTCATTGACCTTGTGAGTAGTTTCCCTTGTGAAAATATAATGCGGTACTTTGGAAAATCACGTCTGAATGGGACATTGTGCAAATTGCATGGCTGAAGAAAAGGGATAACACAATATGGCAATTCGGCTCAGAGAAGTCAGACAGATGTTGCTTTCCATCGACAAAACAACTGGATGTGATCGATCATGCTGCCGCATTACGAGAAAGGGAACGGGTAAAACGATTATTCACGATCGAAGTCTGATTTCATAGTCCTGTGAGAACCGAGTGTTCGAATCTGGTGAAGGGTGTCTTCTCGTGTGATTAGGTTTGTTGCTAAGATCCGATGATACGGTGTCAAGCGGTTCATGCATCATCTTCGTGCATCTAGTAGGTTTTTATGTGTATCTTGCTTCTTCCCTAATACCGGGGAATCCTTCGGGCTGTGAACTGGATTTTGAAATGCCATATTATTCAGACTACTTATGAGTAGACCAACATATGTGTGTGTTTTCCTGGCAGCATTGCTCTTCGTGCATCTAGTAGGTTTTTATGTGTATCTTGCTTCTTCCCTAATACCGGGGAATCCTTCGGGCTGTGAACTGGATTTTGAAATGCCATATTATTCAGACTACTTATGAGTAGACCAACATATGTGTGTTTTTCCGTGCAGCACTGCACGCGCTCCACTCTGATGCGGATGGAGTGTGCACAGCATTCCGGGCTTTATGATACTCTGGATGCTTCTTGATGTGCTTTCTTGGGTGTGAACTGCAGTCACTGTCGTCAGCAGGTCAACAAGAACCAAACTGGCCTCGTTCAGCAAGATCTTCGTATCTTCACCCTCCGAGAGATTCTTGAACACTGACCTGCTTCCAGCAACCAACAATGGCTGTGTTCCTTGACTCGGGAGCTGTCTTTGATTCTGTGAACCGTCGGCACTACGGCACTGTCTTTCGAACAAGCGTGTCTCCCATAAGTTTGTGACTATCCATGAGGCGATGTACACCAACTCCCGTGGACGTGTAAAGGTCTAGGGGGAACTCTCGCCTGAGTTCACCACATCCAGTGGTGTCCGACAGGGCTGTCCTCTCTCACCTTTCCTCTTCAGCTTCGTCGTTGATACGATTATGGAAGGCGCACTACTAGCTCCTACTGCTTATGGGGTCGAAGTTCTCCCGGGGTGTCTGCTCACAGATATCGAGCACGCAGATGACAACACTTCTGGGATCTGATGTCGTGGTAATGCAAAGAATATTAAATAACCTAAGTAATTCTGCCTCATAAGTTGGCATGCACTTCACACCTGCAAAGTGTAAAGTACTACTACAAGGCTGGGTAGGCTCGAACCCAAGCCTCATGCTTGCGGATGAGCCCCTTGAGGTATCAGGTGAGTACGTCTACCTGTGCAGCTGTATCAGTCCCGGTGGTCTAGCGAAAGATACTGTTCCCATCCGCATTGGGAAGACCAGAGCAGCTTTTGTGAACTGCATGTCAGTCGATCGACTTCCCCAAAGGGCAATTTTCGCACAGTCACGTGAAAGGTGGAAGACAGGTGGTCAAACAATTACTTGGCAGCGAATTATCAAAGCCATTACAAACAAACTCAGCTGCACTGGCCATTCCCATCATCCTCGGTGGGGACCCCAAGACGGGCCACATCAATGGTTAGAGACATTGTCAGACATGGCCCAGTCGCGCCCTTAATGGCGCTCGTGCATCTAGGCTATTGCCTTCAAAATCCCTTACTTAACAGCCCACTGATATTGCTGTATATAGGCACCAATTTAGCAGCTCCTGCCTCCAATACGCAGCTACCTACCCAACATCCCTGAATCATCGGTGAACGAAACTGTGGCAGCCACAACCACTGTACGACAGACACGCGTTTGATAATGTCGATGAGGGATTTCGTTGGCAAATGAAGGTTTGACGTTTATCCAGTGGGTCTCTACATAACTAGGGAGCGTCAACGGGACGGGCATTCGTTTCGAGATGGCCCAAGTGGTTAGAGGGCGAATTTACTGACCGGAAGGTCCGTGGTTCGAACCCGAATTCTGCCTCTCGACTTCCCTCCTGTCTAGGCTTGGGCGACCTGGCAGTATCCCAGCCCTCGTGCAACCTTCGGGTGGCATGGCAGTTAGGCACCGGAAGGTGCTACAGCTGAACGATTTTTTCTCTATAGACAGCCCTGGTTTGCACTTTACACTGGTAACTGTCCGCGATCGCCGAAGTAACTATATGTTACACGTGCAAAGTGTGCGCTCGAGTGTAGTATTCGTGTTTGTCTCGAAGTTATTGCCATCGTCTCCTTGTTGTTACTGGAGCACTGGATGATCTGGACTGCAAGGGAGCATGTGTACATTCAAGACCATTCCCACCAATGGCTTTTAATTACTCATCGAAGTTAGAAGATATTTGGGGAAGATGAGATTGATTCTCCAAGTTTTTTCAAAATACTGAATTGAACTGCGGTCCCAGCAATTAATTCATGAAAGAAGAAATCGTCAGCTGTAGGCACCCTTTCGGTGCCTAGCTGCCATGCCACCCAACGGAAGCACGAGGACTGGGATACTGCCAGGTTGCCCCAGCCTAGACAGGGGGAATCGAGAGGCAGAAGTCGGGTTCGAACCACGAATCTTCCGGTCAGTAAATTCGCGCCCCAACCACTTGGGCCATCTCGCCTCAATTAATTAATCCATCCGGGACTGCAATTCACAAAGTCGTTTGTTCACGCTGGTTACAAGCGCCTGAATTTCCTAGGGCAAATTACCTTTCTGTCGATGCTATTCGGAAGACCGACAGATCGATTTCGCGTTCTGACTGCACACGAAGACCATCGGCAGCTACCGGTCGTGTGTGAACTTGGCTCAGTTTCGCCACTCGTTCGGGTTCACCGTTAAATCGGCGTTTAGCTTGTTGGGGCTGGACCAGCCTGTCTGTTCCATCCTGTTTGCACTCCTGATCGCTGGATTCAATTGTGCTGTGTGCTGCGTATCCGTAGGGTAGGGGGATTGAGCTCATAGTCTGATCTGGTCTACCCCACATCCACCCCACACTCGAGGAGACAGCGATGATCCCCCATGCATTGATGCGCGCACCAGACGCAAGTGCGTGCGTGAACACTCCCGTGGGTAAAGGCGACGTTCCGATTGGATGATCGGAAACCCGAGTGAAAAGATGCGGTGGGACACAGGGGGTTAAAGTAGCGGGACTGGCAGATGGTTCAGCACCACATCAACGTACGCAACCTGATGCGGTAAATGAGAGCACATATGAGCAGCGTCTTGATGCTGAAATGATATCTATTTTGAATTTATGGTCATGGCAACTCGCCGAAATCCCGATAACCAAAAGTTATGAATATCTACGTTGGCAAGTGTGAAATTAGCTCGCCTGACAGACACTCCCACCAAGCTAAAACCAGTTCGATGGCTGTCAACGATGTTCAACACCGATGCTTCACTACGTACATCCATGATTTGCTTGAAAGCCTTATTGTAAAGAACAAAGGGACTTAGTGCTAGCTTACCACAATCATTCCGAGGCGCCTACACCTCCAGACGTTCACTCAGGCGATCTGGATAGAAACTGACAACAAGAAGGCCACTGCCATCGATTGGCAGCCATATCTTGTAGTTTCTCCAACTAGGCGCAGTGGGGATCACGCGGTGCCCATCCTCGAAGGCGAGTAGCACCGACAGTACCCAAGCGTTTCGTGATCTTCATACTCCTCTGCCAAATCAAGGGTTGTCCACCTCTCTGTTTACGCCACTCCGAATTGGGCATGGAAAATAGTACTCTTTTCGGTAAACGATGATTCGGCATGCGTACATGTCCCAACCAACGCAACTTCTGGTGCTGAACACATTTTTCAATGGAAGTACCCGTTGCACAACCGAAAACGCGCTTTCTAATTGCCTCGTTACAGATTCGCCGACGCCAACCCACTCAACTGCGTGCCGACGATTTCTTCTTGACTGGGGACGAAACGTTTGCAAACCAATTGCCAAGCTCGGCGAACAGATCAACTACCATCTGATCAACCAACAGTTCGATGGTGTTCACTTTAAATCTGAACTCGCTTGAAGTACCACCTCCCAACAAAAATCACCCCGAGTGTTACCGTACCATTCCAACGAAGACGAAGATGCGAAATTTTCTGGAGCTGAGCTCTCACGGATTTTCACACCAATTAAGTAGTCGGACAATGGCATGAAGCCAACAAGGTCCCACCTAGATGAATGTAGATACTAGAACGTGAATGTCATCCGTATGGGGCACAACCACGAAGAGTTTCCCTCCCTAAAAAGCTCATTTCACAGACGGAGTCGATTAGAATCCTTCGAATAGCTAGCTCCCTCCTAGAACATACCAGTTCAGCTTTGGTGAGTCCCTGCAGAGGGTATTTAGAGTTGGGGTCATCTAACTACTTGGTGTGCAAGATATATTTGGAGTGATTTTTGGTGCAAAAGGATAATGTTAGAAGCGAAGTTTTTTCCGTAACTAAGCGTCTAGATCACCGTGGTGTTGACCTTCGTAAGGAGCACGCTAGGCTCTGTTCTCTCTTTCTCTTTCGATAGAAAGCCCCTCATTCAAATGACTGACAGAAATCGATCGCTTATCGGCGAGAGTTTGTCACTGAAGTACCCTTCCCAAGCCAAACCAAGTAGTTTTTGCCACTCGGTCTCTCCAAAGATGATCAGACAAAACCTCACAACCAAGTCGTCAGCCCCTGGAGGCTACGATAACAGAGAAACTCGAATTCAACCGCCACTCGATGATATCCCATCGTACACTTTAGGATCATCAACTCCCACACACATCTGATGCAATTGCGCAGATTTAGTAAGGTTCCAGGCAGCCTCCACACAAAGTTTGTCCCGCACAGAAGAGAAAGAGTGGTGATGTTTAGAATGACATCGAGCATGAGTGTGGACTCGAACGACAATCTCTGGTGAAATTTCACCGAATATTTGTAAGGTGATGTCTTCCCGAAAGGGGTCTGCGGACAAAAGATCCTAGGTGCCGTGAAAGTGAGGCATCGTAAATGACACACTGGCATCAGTATGTTTCATTAGAAGAATTTGAGGTGTGTATTTCACCCAACGATCGATAGAGTGTTTCCCCTTAAAAAAAGACCATCTACCCCAGGCCAATACCATTTGAGCAATTCTCCCTGAGAGATCTTAATCCGAAGGGATTACTGGAACTTGATGACAGGATAGCCCACAGTCTCTCCTGATCTGCCTTTCTTCGTCTCCAAGGGTTATTTTCTAGCATAATACTTAAGCTCAGTGGTCACGCCTAGAACTTACTGACCCAAAAGTTTGGGGTTCAAACCCAACACCAGCTTCACGACGGCTCCAATTCAGTCTAGTTTATCAGCTATAAGTCGTGTACCATAGACATATTGGTCCCAGTTTGTTCGAAAATTGAAGGCGATAGCTTTGATGGACGACCAACCTGACAGTGTTTTAGTCCTCGTGCTTCCTTCGGGTGGCGTGGCAGCTAGACACCGAAAGGGTTTTACGGCTGAACGATTTTTCATTCTGCCATACTATTTTGCTCTTTGGGTTCCGGAAAACGTTTGATCTTGCTACCTCGCTCTCCCAAACTAATTTCCAAACGCAACCGACTTTATCGCCCACATCTTTATGCCGACGCCTCATCTACATCTTTCTAAAAGCTAACCTGTCCTCTGGAAAGCTCTTTATAGTTAGAACACAAAATCAATAGCTAAGGCATATAGCAAACAGTGACTTGGCAGCGAAGTATAAAAGCCTTTACCAGCAAACTCAGCTGCACTGGTCATTTCGGTCTACCTGGATAGAGACTTCAAAACGGACCACACCAATGGTTAGAGACATTGTCAGACGGCCCAGTCGCGCCCTCAATGGCGCTCATGCATCCAAACTATTGCCTTCAATGCATAGCTCCCTTCCCAATCCCCCTACTCAACAGTCCACCTATAGCACTGTATTTACGCACTCTTCCCAATCCCCCTACTCAACAGTCCACCCATAGCACTGTACTTACGCACCAATTTATCAGCTCCCGCCTCCATTGCGCAGCTACCTACCCCACCTTCCCGAATCATTGGTGAACGAAACTGTGGCAGCTACAATTACTGTACGACAAGTACCCGAGTCTTACAGCTGACGTTGATGATGATGATGATGATCGCAGTATTCCACCCATTTATTCATCAACTGTAGTTCACTCCGATCCAATT